TAATCTTCCTTGACGAACCAACCACTGGCTTGGACGCTCACACAGCCATGGTTGTTATGCAAGTATTGAAACGGTATGTCCCCATATAGATTCTACTCCGGCATTTGACAGACTTCTTTCTTTTGGGTGAGACCATAACGATAGCTTATTTGAGAGGATAAAAGTCCTTTTTTTCTGACAATAAACGCAATCGTAGCTGCCAAGTCATGATGTCTGTGAGTGGTGACGATTACGACAAAGCAGCCCACTGCTAGAGTAGTAAGCCTTTAAATCGCATGAAATATTCAGATAGCGTTTTTGGTTTGAGCCAAGTTGACTTGGGTAAGGAAATAGTTGCTGCATATCTACAAACAAGTTTAGATCTAGTACGAATTATTTCAATCCCATCTGTCAAAAAACAGAGCTTCCAAACTTATCCGACATGCCCCCGACAATGTTCTGAAACTACCTTTGAGCACTTGCGCAGGCTGCTCAGACGCAGACGCAGCTCTTGAGTTTTCAGAGTTTGGCCTTTGACCCCAGGCTCTTGACAGGGTATAAACAACATTTTTAATTTGTGAATTTAAGATAAGTGCTGCGACAGTCAACTTGTTAACTTGGGCCATCTTCACCGACGATGCCATGGTGGACTGGAAGACACTAACAGATGGTTGTATAGATCGTCCGAGAAGGAGAGGAAATGCACTGTACTGGTGAATTTCATGGCTTCCGTGTCCCCTTGACCTGGCATTTTTGGAAACAGCCAGGACCAAAATGCCCTAAACGTTCGACGCCAACGGTTGACGAGCTGTCGCAAATGTTCTTAGAAGAGCACCTCGTCTCCTTGCTAACAACATGTCTAGGGCTGAAAAGTACACGTCATAAATTATAAAACACAGGTAGAAATGCCTTCTAATGCCTTAAGTACAACAGATTAAGTAAATTGGGTTGCAGAATTGGAAAGCGTACAGCGTAATGCTGCGTTACTCCTGACACCGTGACAGTCTTGTTTGGAAACTTTCCTGCGAAGTAGCAGTCACTTGCGCGGTTTATTCCGCAATTGCTTTACCCTGCTTATAAGGTCGCTAATTTTTGCTAGCGAGGATTGCCAAGAATTTCGGTCCTAACGGTTCCTTATAGAAAATCGCACAATGTAATCACGTTCTTGCATATATCAAATATTTCGACATTAAGAAATTCAGTAATTCATGTATCTGTTGAAATAACCGCAGTTTGTAAGTCCTTCCGTTCTACCGTCTATTTACTATTCACTTTTTCTGGGGGAGTTTTTCATTCCGTTTTATAATGTTTTCGTGAGATGTCCTGACATAAACAAAATTTTGGGATGTGTGTGAACCAATTACTACACGTCGTAAGCCGGGCCAAGCATCTTCGAATTGTATACTGCATGTACATCTAGCCGAGATATTCTTGCAAACAAGATATACCAGTATGCAAAATTATTTTTAGCAAAAATGCTATTGTGGATCCTCCTTGGCAAAAATAATTATCCAAAGCCATAATATTCCTCAGGGGCGGCGGTTGTCGGGCGCTTCAGACTTCCTAGTGGATCAAAGTTGACAGTCGTAGAGCAAAATAGCACTAACTGATGACTCGTCCACTCCTAGCGGGACTAGGGGCGCTGAGTGCAGTTTTTGCAGACTACCGAAAAGAAGTACATTCAAAAGCCAACAGTCTGGTTTGTCTGAAATGTCACGGGACTACGTCACAAGGTAGACAATATTACAGCCTCACTTAACTGATCCTTCCTAATCGAAAACACATTTCATGAGATCGGTCGCTGACTGTAGGTCAACAGTGCCAGCAAGATCAGCGTACCGCCTATGGATGAGGAGCCTCTCACGCCATCTTATGCTAAACTCCTATACCCATGCCTGTAGGGCCAAGACTACTTACACGAGAACGTACCCTACCGACGGCTCGGAAGTCGCCAACAAGTGCATCCCTTTCTGAAATCACCGCGGTCCTCTGTTCCACCTGCGGGACCCTGCCCAGTAAAGAATGGACCCACAATTATTGTTTCCTGTAGCAAGAAGATTTAGATTCACCTAGGCTTTTAGGGTCGTCTCTTGTGCAACTATGGTACTTGAAGTCTGCATGCCGTGTTGCCACCCTAACAACTTCTGCCGCCGTCCACTCGCAGTCTAGCTCTGGAGGGCAGGACGATCATAACTTCGATACATCAGCCCAAATCTTCTATTTACAAACTCTTCGATTCTCTCACTCTCCTTGCAAATGGCCGTATAGTCTACCATGGAGCCGCCGGTGACTCTCCCGTGTCCTACTTTCGACGACTTGGTAGGCTCCTTTTTCTGCGCACACCTTCGTCTTTTTGAGTTAACATGTTGCACAAGGACTGCTAGTCCTTCCGACAGAATGGCAGTTAATCCAATTGCCTATCTCCCAACCTCTACTTCTGCCCTTCCAGCTTGTTTTTTCCTGTTTGACTGACAGAAAATATGCAAATTTATAAAAAAAACAGAGAAGTCACCCATCTCATTCTCGAGAGACAGTTCTGTAACCTGTAAGAATCGACCAGTGTCATGTCTTGCTCCATTTTTTTCCCACGGCTTGCCTCAAAGAGCCAGACCTCTAGTTGGGCTTTACAATAGGAAGGACAACACCCTCGAGGAAAGCAATTTGGAAGATAGAAATGACACCAGAGAATTGCTGATCGGTTGTCTTTGGGGGAGAACTTGTGGCGTTTAGCTCTATAAGCAATCGTAATGGGTAATCATCTTACGCCAAAAGGCAGTCGAGTCTTTCAAATAGCATACAGGTACGGTCATGCCGTTCGTCCAGAGCAAGCTGTCCCAATTAAAACGTGCGGATGGGCAAGCATATGGGCGCCTTTGAGTAAGCCAAAAACGCTATCACCCCGAACTAAATGCGGACACAAAGTTGATTTTAATGACTAGAGGCAGTCTGTATAAGGTAAGACACGGAAATAGGAACCCTCCGTGATACGTACTCTTGGTACTTGGTACGGCTGCGATCATGCCTGATCTAGCCGGCCTCGATGATGTCCCCAACTGTATCTCTCCACGCGTGATGACCCGCGGCAGCAGATCTGGACAGTTTAGCCCATTCTCTTCGCCCTTGTGATACAGGTGGCCTTGTGTTAAACTCCAGGAAGGGCACCCATTCCCCAAGTCTAACCCCAATCCTAACCGCAACCGTAACCCCCTTGGAATTTTGCGCAAGGTCACCTGTGTCATGGGGGCTCCTTTTGCCGTGTCCATCCTTTATTACGACAGACGATGAAACTGGGAAACACACACAAATTGTTTTTGTGATTTGTTGTGATGGACGTTGTTTCCAGTTCCTAGACAGTTCAAAAGATTGCCAAATACAAAACTGACCTGGTTTATTAAGTCAGCGGTAAAAGCATCATCCGAGAAACCCCGGAGTCAGCGTGAGTTTTGTTACAAAAAGACATTTTATGCATATTAGCTCGAGTTCGTCGATTCACTCACAACGAAGCATACCTGTGAAATGGTATTTGTTGGGACGCCAACTTTTTAATAAGCCCCCTAATTAGGCCGCCTCTGATCGCACTCACAAGACGAGGACTAGTGAAAGCACTTTTAATTTAATCTATTTCTTGTGAACCAGTTCAGATGAGGTCTTGACAGAAGCGAATAGGCTATCTCCAGGAAGCAGTTCAGAAGGGGAAAATGCGATCGCTGGGACCCACCATCAGAGACGGTCGCAGATAAGGATACCTGAGGCACAAGTAGCGCAGTATTCATAGGACGCAATTTCTATGCCACCGCACGCCCAGCATAACTGGTAGCATCCGATTTCATCGCCGGGGTCTTATTTCGTGTGATTATTGTTGGTTGGTCCGCACCCGAGTCATTAACCGACGTGATTTAATCACCGTTGCTGATTCTTGGTGTGAAGACTATTTGGCAATTTGACTCGCTGTCACGGGGGTAGATGGTCACCCGTCGCCTCCCTGCGTGGCTTATTACTTTGCCCAGGCAAAGTATCAGCACAGAATATGGAGGCGGGAGGTCGTTGCACTTGTTAATTAAATGCGGGCCGGAGAATCATGGCTCAAGCAGTTCGCAGCTCACGCGGTTGTCACCTCTTGCGAGAATTTCGACCTCGTCAAACTTGGAGGTGTGAACGGATCTCGCCGAATGAGTCGCGATCTGGGAGCTAGTGCCAGTCCTAACTGCTGCTGCACGTACGACCTTTCGCGTCCGGAATAGTCTCCCAGTTTTTCCGACGTAGTTGCCTTGTCTGCAACTGCGCCAGATCAAGTAAACGACTCCAAATGTTGCCTGCGTGTCGGTAAGTCCTTCGACCTTATGATCTGACCGTCTGATAGTTTCCTGCGGTCTCTGTGCAACCATAACTCCAGGTGGTGTGAGAAGACGACTGACGACTTCTGAGACCTTCCTAGACGCGCTCGTCAAAATTCGGGGTCGGTCGGTTGGTTGGCTCTCGTCTCGTTTGCGCATGCATCAGCTGACGGAGTTGCTCGGGTACTCATTATCTCTAAGATATTGTAATTTAGCGACCTAGCCTTCCGGTTCACTGTAATGCGTCTCAACGCACCGGCATAGCGCCCTTACACAACTGCGTTTGTGACAGATTGGATGGTTGCTGTTGAGCTTCAGCATTCGCGTTGCATCAAGGGAGGCCAGCTGGTTGTTTTCCTGCTCTTCCATCGTAAACCGTTTGTCTGCGAAGACGGCGTTGAGGCGTTCTTTGAATGTCAGCGCCTGATCCCGTTCGATGACGACATAGGTGTTACTCACATATCGTACTAAGGACTTCGGTTTGTGGTGTTGGAAGACCAGCGACTCCAATCGTTGCAGGACCGCCTCGACTATGAGCCCCGAGATCGGCGAACCAATTGCGTGCTTTACACTTGCCCGTAGATTTTCCCTTCAAACGCGAAGTACGTCCTGAGGCAACTTCAGGAGCTGAATGACTTAGGTGTGTCTAAGGCGATTCCCCGTTTCATCGTACTTGCATTTTAGGAGTAGTTCGATTATCTCGACTGCCAGATCTTGGAGAATAGAAATACCGAGGGACTTGACGTTAAAAGATACCATGACCTCATTTTGCAGGAGACTTACCCCTCAAGTCTCTTGAAGAATCGTGTCGACAAACAGGCCGTGGCATCTGAGTCAATGGTTAGCAATTTGAGACACCGAAGCAGCCACTTTGCCAGTCCGTACGTTGGAGTACTTTTGAGCAATACGTTGGGTCGGAGAAGGGCGCCCTCTTTGTGCTGCTTCGGGAGGTCATAGAATCCGGCCAAGACCGTCTCCTGGTTTCTCGCCATGCGTCGGTCAGTCAGCGTTTTTGCACCCGATTTCTCCATTGCCAACAGCATCGTATTAATTTCACGGGTCATCGCTTTTACGGAGTTGGTTTCGCATGAAACATAAAACTCGCGATCATCCAGCAACAATGTTTGGCCTTCTGAAGGTAGTCTGTTCTGTGCAGTATGACAGTGGAACGTCCCTTGTCCGCGAGCAGGATAACGGTGTCATTGTAATGCATCGACTGAGCTTACGAAGACATACTTCATTTCCGAGGGGGGGGGGAATTTCAGATTGCAGTTAAGAGAATGAGCAAAAACCCACGTTACTTTCACTTGGAGCACTCGAATAAAGTTTCAGCACGACTGCCTCTATGTTGACTCGAGGTGTAGTCTAATAAGAGTTCGAATGGAACGAGCAGTAGCGTACATGATTTTTCTCCAAAGAACTGCTCGTTTCGGAACCGTCAACTTTGATTTCTACAATGCCCGACTGAGAATCTATGGCCTTCAATGGAAGTTGTGTCACTTAACCAGTAAATACTAAATATGCTTAACCGCACCGTATACGCACTAATTTAGCATAATAGTATTATAATTATCAGGGGGCATAACCAAAATCATTCGACTACCATCGGTGATGCGTTTATCGTTCAGCGTCACCCTGAATACGGTCAGCAAAGGAAGTTTTTTGAGTCACGTTATTTCAGAACAACAGAATAGTAAGCTTGTTAGTGTATCTTCGTCAATGATAGTATTTTGACAATACGTCTCACTAAGTTTGTTTAACACCACGTGATTTTCACCCCCATCGTTTGGTTGCCGTGGCGCGCCTGTTTGCGCAGTTAATCCGTCTGACCTAATTGCTAGACGGAGCACGTTTGTTGTGATTGCACCTTATGATTTTCGTTCTCAAAAAACAATCCAGAAAAAGTCATTCCAGCTTCCTTCTTTTTGCTAATAGCCTGGTAGATGCCCTGAAGCAACACGGGGACTGGGCCGGAGTCCGACAGGCGTTATTGGGAATGCGAACCCATGACAAGTGTCAACATGTGGGATCTTGTGGTACGCCCGATTTCAGGGTCACACCGCACCAATTGGACTCCGAGCCGCTCCCCTTTTTGTTGTTGTCGGAAATCCTGATAAAGTGTGTCTTGTGAACCGGGGGGCGTGGTGGTACGTGTGGGTGTGGGTTTTCGCCGTGCCAGCCACCTGCGCCCGCTCCCGCTTCCGGTCTTCTTGACTCTGTCTCGGCACAGGATCCAGGCTGGGAGGGGAGGGGGAGGCGTGGAAGATGCACTGCAAGTTCGCCATTACTATAAATTAATTCACGCGCAAGTCATCGTCTCTGCTCTCACCCTGCTTCGATGCATACGGCGGACGTAGTCGGCAACAATGGCCAAGTTGTCGGTGCGCGTCGACGCCGGCCATCTTGGGGCTGTCTTTCCATCAGACCAAGGTAGATGAGGGAAGAGGGAGGGCAGTAGATTCTTCCCAAGTCCACATACTAGAGACTGATTCACGCGCAAGTCGCCAGTGCTGCGGCCACTTCGTGAGACATGCATTGGGTGCTGTCGCTCGCTACGGTCCAACCGTCGTATATTTATTTTCGGAGATCCTATAGGTTCGACCGTTTAACCTGGAAGGGTGTAAAAAATTAATTTCTTTTACCAAGCTTGTAGGAAACCGCATTTCCTTAAAAGTTCGCACTTGGATTAACTATCTGTTTCGCTTTTAAAAATACTCGTAGTTATGAGTGTTTTTGGAAGTTTCACATGAGTATTTGTTTAGTATAATATTTGAAAGCCTGTTAATGCCGTTGAAGAAGTTCGAAATATAATTAACCTCCCTCCCATTAGTTTAGAGACACTAGGAAGTCTCTCTGTAGGCGGAAATATAATTAGTGAATCCTCCTCAGGGATATTACATAGCTTATGTTTAATTAGGCGTCTCCGAGCACAATTGTAAACTCAAGTTGCCTTTTAATATGTACGTTAATTATCGAACATGGTAAACCAAAGTGTATTTTATTCTTTGAAACACCAGGTTACAGGAGGACTTAAATGCCTCCGAAACGACTTCTAGAAAAGAATTTTTCGCCCACTTTTTCCAGGAGAAATGATTCGTTTTATATCTTATCTAGCTGGAAAAAGATCGAATAGTTGTGTAATGCTTATTATAATCGTCTGGTAGCCAGAGATATTATGAGCCCAATACATGTGTTCACTAATGGAAGAATACACTTGACGTTATGTCCTTCCCTGATCGGCTTTGAAACTCAGATAAGTTAACTTTGCTGTCGGGGGGACATTTTAAGTGGACACCGCATGTTTTCGTTGAAAATTTGCGTTGAGCACAAACATCTTCAGCGGAATGACCGCGCGCTGCCTACAAGTGTACGAGTTTCAGCTGATACTCCCATGTTTTGAGTATGGGAAACCAACTTTCTGTAGGTAGTGGCCTCAGTCGATGCCTCGTAGCCATTGACGTCCATTGGCCCATAAATTATTGCCATGTCAAGCTCTAACAAACCGACCCGATAATATCTTATCCCTGTTATTTTTCTGTTTTACAAGGCTACAAGGTCAGTGACCATGAAAACCCCGCGGATTTCTTCATCGATCTTCTGCATACCGAACTGCCGAAAGAGGCGCAGGAATGTCTGAATGTCCTGTATCCATCTGCTGATGGTACACGAAAATGTCACAACCAATTTTCTGGTATGTTTTTGGTTCCTTTTGTATCTAGTGAGGAAAATATACTGGCATGGCAAAGTCAGAAATTATTCGGGTAGTTCTAAGACTTGTTGCGACATCTTAACATTCTTCCCAAAGGTCATTTTATGCGACTACAAGGCAACCACTGTGCTGGCAGTTACTCAAGAACTTATTAAGCCCCCTCCATCACCGAAGTTTTATTCCTGGCTGCTGTTTCGGTCTAGCGTTACACCGACACAGGCCGAATTTTTCATGGGAAGGGGGAGATTGGATGGAGAGTGCAAACACAAGGTTCAGCACACAACCTCATCGCATTTCTTTTCCACTGCTGGCCAACATGATTGTGGGCGCGGTTAAATCCTCTAGTGTCCGTTCGAAGGGGGACAGGTGGGCTTCCATTCGCGACCGGGGAGGGGGGGGGAGGAGGATGCCACTGTGCGCTCCAGTCAGCACGGTATGTAAGCAGTATTGTGTTGCCAGCTGGGAGCGTAGACCTGACTGATTCTACCCAATTACCGACCGTCAGCGATGTAGGTTTGCACTCGATGTGACAAGTCTTCTGAGAATTCGACGAAAACTCTAGTGTCAGGCATAGGATTGTTGCCGATCAGCGGTCGCCTCCGAACGCCTGGCTGCCGCTTCAACGCTCACTCTTCACGTCAAGTATTTTGGGCCAATAGAACTTCAGAATTTACCTCGAGCTGTAGCATTGGTTAACAAAAGTGAACGCCTGTGGTCTGGATTCCAGACCGAACGGATAGGGGTGAAAGACCGCGGTGTGCGAATTAGTTCTACTGCGAAGATATTTCTGGCGTCGAAATACCCCTAGCATTTTCGGTGCCTAAAGAAAATAGTGGTTTACACAAGAGTTCTTGAAAACTTAAACGCCTACTGCATCCATACATAGTTTTGATCCGGGACCCACTGATTTCGTTCCAAACATACTATCTCAGATGTTGCACATAGGCAAATCGCTTTGGAAAATCAACCACAATTATCAAAGCCTATTAGCGCATGGTGGAGTCTTTTTTATCGATTACCGGGCACTAAAGTCGGAGAACAATCTGTGTACTGAAAGAAGCTTGAAACTAGTGATTAAACATGCTGATCGGAACATTCCCCGACCAATACGCAAATAATTGCTCGATTACCCGTATGAAGCACCAAAACATGCTCAATATATTGAAAGTTAACAGCAGCAGCTAGGATTTGGACAAATAGCCTCGACACTAGACTACTGCTGCATGTCAAAGATAGAGATTAAACTTCTGGATTAGTTACATGTTTTTAAGTTTTGGCCACCTGTGCATCAACTTGTGAAGTGCGTAATTTCGCATTTTCTGGTCCTAATTCCAAGCAAGTCAGTTTAGTTTGAGCCTGCTAAAGAACCTGAAAATTATGCGCGCATCATGCCCGATCTCACTTTAATAACCGGGAAAGGTGACCCCTCCTGACACTGCGTCTGACTGCGGAGCTCTGTAGGACCTAGAACAGAAACAGTTTCGTGATGACGCTTGTGGTTGTTCAAAGCAAGACAGACATCCTGCTGGAAACTAGTAGTAGGCAACAACTTTCTCACCTCTCCTCTGCCTCTGTCCTAGGCACGACGAGCAGTGGACCCCGAACCTTTTGTGTGATTCCTGCCTCCTGCTTCTGCTGTTGATAAGCATGTACAGTCTAGCTCGAAAAAGCCGGTTTATGCCCTCACGAAATAACAGCGTTATTCCTTTTATTGTTTTAATGTGGACTGTCTACCATGTCAATTTCTCGCACTGGTTTAGATGACAATTCGATGGAAAAACAGCAAGTGGCAACATCGGACCTGCTGGCCTCCCGTCTCCAATGTGTCTTCTACTCCTCGTATGAATGGCTTGCGTGAGTCCGTTAAGATGACCTTTTGCCATTTCTCAGGTGCATTTTGTGTTTGAAGCAACCGGACCCAATTTTTCCGCTGTGCATATTTGTGCACCAGCCTTTCATCTTATCGCGCCAGCAGACGAACTATCACAGTGCTACGAAATTTTAGTTTAAGCGGGAGTCCACGGACTACCATCCTCTTCCTCCGCAGAATCTGCGCTAAAAAGTAGTCCATGAAAACTTGGTGAATGCTAAAAATGGCAAAGTTGGTTTGCTGAAGACTAATTGCCTGTCTATCTCCACTTTAAAGATGCTTTTCATGGCTGCTGAAAGTAGAAGAATTCACCGTGCAAAGTTTCTTTCCTGGCACAGTTGAATTTTTCATTCGACTCTGAGTACTCATACAGGTCCTTCGATAACGCTTTCCCTTCACCAACTTCTTGCCGCCCGCCAAAGCAGCGCGTTTGATTGATGCTTTTCCTCTGCAACCGTTCCAACACACTTAGCGTGCGAAAGTTGATATACACTGTCTTGGCTTTCACCGGTCCGAATATTCAACTCAAGTACCACATATCTTCCGAGAATGCTGACAGTACGGCAACGGGCAATGTCAATGCGCTTCGCTACGCACTAACTGGAGTTTAAAGGAATTTCAGGCTCCTAAGGGCATAATTAAACTATAAAGGTTTGGGAAATTCCCGTGACTGATCATTTGGCCTCTGCCTCGACCGTTCAATCGAACGTCCCTCCTTCTCCCAAGCTTGTTTGCTGAAATTTTATATTATTTCAGCATGAGCGAGAGAAACCGGACCTTGCGACTGCAAACTCATAGAAATCAATCCATTTATGCAATTGTCGACCCTCGATATTCGGAGTAACTGAATTTTCCTTTTATGCTATTTCTCTAAAGCTGAGTTTGGCTACAGACCCACCAGCTAGTTACATAATGGTTCGCACTTTTTTCGACGAACTGAGTGAGGTCAGCCAAGGAGAGACTACCTTTCTTCACAGGAGGACGTCGGTGTTGCTTGACCCCCCCCTCTTTATAGCATCCACTATTTCCTATTGTTTTTTTTTCACAGCCCTGCGACCTAACACTAAAAGCGAGGCCAGATTAACGTAATACACGCACACCGAATCCGTTTGTCAGCCCGCCAACCATTTAGTAGACTTTTTAGCCTGCCTGACCTCGACTCCTTGAACTTCGAGCACGCCTAACCTGACTCTACAATGTTTTGCTTTAGGCCCGAGGAACTAGTTTTCCATGGGATTCCTAGGTGTTTTTTTATGCCTCACTGATTTGATAATCTGAACAGGAAAGCCGATCAACAAGGTGTGCCGGTCAGTGTCGACTGGTAGCCTGGACACGTTGGATCCGAGTTATTGTAGACAATCGGCTAATAACGAACAACTAGTGCTGAAATAATACTTAAGTGAAGTCACAACGTCTGAGGAGGGTGTATGCGGCTTATATGCCGTCCTTACCCCAGCCCAAACTGGCAGGACCCGAGACTATCATTTGTGTTAGTCGTCTTTGGGGGAACCGAAATGCGCGGCGTCACCCCTGAGCCACTGGCGTATGCCTGTTTTTGCACGACGGTAAACAAGCACCAGAATATGACATGTATTGCGGGGTCGGAACGGGTTAGCTTCGCTCTGTGGCTAGGTTTGAGGTGGTACTCTGCAATCGAGATGTATACTTCCAATCCTAGTTTACATTCGGAGAATTTGTTAGGTCACTCGTTCGGAGTAAAAAAGAAACTGCACCTACATTGGAGGTTTATGAACATCTACATTTTAATTACTCGAAACTTGTATTTTATGAAGGCGAACTGCTTGAAGGAGGGAACTCGCATAGCCAAAAATGTTCACTGCAGGTTCGCTCGAGCTGCCGACCATCGCCCGTTTGTATTAGATGCGGTGGCTGAGGCAAGTTAGCTGCGTTTCCCAACTATGCAAATTAATCCATACTTCTTTCCTTATGACCCCAGAAATATCGGCCAATATATGCAGTGGGCAGGCGTAGCCCAGATAGCCCTTAAGTGGAGGGGGACGAATGGTTCGCCCCGTTCTCTCACAACAAGGGTTTTCTAGCCGCGCGAGTTTCCCATTTCCTGTAGTCCGATTCGGTAGATAACTTGTTCCTTCATAATAACCCAATGCCTAATACACTATCCTGCATATCTTCACTCCTTTTCTACTCGATTTTTTCCTTGCAATTTCCTAGCAAGCAGAAGCCGGTAGTTGACGCGATCTTTTCCACATGGAGAAGGTTAAGCACTCGCTCGCCTGCCCTGTCGCGAGAAGGCTCACTGACTCAGTTTCAGAGCGTGCACGGCTCTGAGGCGGAATTACATCCCTTGGTCCTAAAAGCTTCCCCTACGAGGTTAGTGATGAACTATCTGAGTAGATGAAAGTGTTTGTCTTCAAACAGTCAGTAGCTGTACTACCTGCAGTTTTTGTAAACATTCCCAGACGGTCCGTAGACGATGGGACAACTGCTATGGCGCCGATCTCCCAACAACCCGAACAGCACACCATTGTCAATAACGCTTTACTTCTGGCTGAAGGAGCAGGCTCCGAAAGTGACATGTTGGACGACACCAAACACGTCGGCTCTCCTGTGAGCAAAACAATTTTCAGTGGAGGACGCAGCCAGCTCCCATTTTATAGACAGTTTGGCATTCTCTCCAAAAGAGGGTTTTTGAGTACTGTGAGGTGGGTGCTTGACCGATATTATACATTCATGGGCAAAGCTATAGGCTCCTTAAGTACAGAGGACTATTATTTTTGCCTGGTGCCAATACGCATTGTGCTGATCCTATATAATGCGTGCACTATCGAAAATTTTGATCTTATTGAGCGTTTGCGCGATTTTTAAATCGACTTTTTAAATTTGCCTTGCTTAATTTCCGAGGAAATTAATGCGCGAACTTGGAGTAACTCTTTCGAAACAGGCCTTTTCAGGCACGGTCCGAAATTTGATATGAATATTTGAGCTGAAATCCATCAGCTACTGCGGAATAACCGCTTAATATTCACAAACCGCCAACAGGCAGCCAGTAGTATAGCATTGTGCAATAATTTACCGTACTAACAACACAGGTATTAGCTAAAAGCTGATAGAAATAGACGATTTGTGTGGATTTTATAAAGACAAATATTTTTCCCGATTTAAACCATGGAAATCCTCATATTAGTTTCTTCGAATCTAACATGCATACGTGCGCAGATAGATGGAATAGGAGGACCCCGATCATGTTTTTCCGAGCCGAAAAATGTTCATTTTCAGAATTAAAGTAGTGGTCGGACACGCTAGATTACAGTGGGATCCTATCTTCGTGTCCTAACCCGAACGCTACGCATTCTAACCCAAATCCTAACTATCCTGACCCTTACACTCATCAGAACCCCTTTCACCTCTGGAATTTAGGGTAAGGCAACCTGCAATACGTTGGGCTCCGCATTTCCGTACCCAGCCAATGCAATTATTATTTCCATGCACCTTTAGCCATATATTAAAAAAAAGTCGTTTCAGCATGCCCCCGATGTAAGTAATGACTGAAGGCTCGGCCACGTGTTTTTCCGGCTTTTTGTGGCCGCATGATGCAACTGCGGGAGTTTCTGCTAATAATGGACTCCACTATGTGGTTTTTTTCATGTAATCCAGTTTTTCACACAAGGTACAGGATCTAACGGCATTTCTGTGATGTTTTGAGAGAATAAAATTTAATGCAGAACCTTGAGTCAGTGGTATCAATTATGACCACTAATGGTGTCAAGCTTAGACCGCAAAGAAACTTGCTAATTAATTGCATTAGTATGTCGTGAAAGTCCCCTTGTTTTGTTTAACCATGGGGCATAATACAGAAAGCGCATTTTCGTTTCCATTGGATACCTAATACAACAAGCTATGCATTAAAACAAATCTACAACATATCGTCTTTTAACCTAGCACATACCCTAAATCACACAGCTTCTCAAAGACATTTGCCAAATCATTATCTTCCGCTGCATGCAGAGGTTGTGGACAAGGATTGTAAAGACTTCCACTGATGGCTTATAGTAGTAGAAATATTTCCCAGGTAATGTCAGGAGTAAAAGGTTCAATTGCAGAAACAACCGCTGTGCTGTTTTTTCGTAGACTTGAAGGTAACATTGTTTACTTCCCATTTCAGAATAATTTCTGGAAGTAGCAGGGGAGATCGCAAGAAGTCCTTTTTAAGAGAGTCTGTTATGCGTAGCTGCGCTGCGTTTTCAAAACTTGGGTGTTCCGGGACCCTGCTTCGAATGTTGCATGTCTCTAGACGTTAACTTTATAATTTCGTCTGCGCTCAGCGAACAAAATTGTTGAGACTGAACTTTTCGCGTCCAACCCAGTTTTGTGCAAGTATTCGAGTTAATTTCTACCGTTTTCGGCGGAATACCGCATCTTAGCAACTACTAAACCGGCAGTGGGCTGTGTTGTGTGCGGGAATTTGTTTAATCAAGTTTCTCACACAGGCACCAGCGGAACCAATCAATGAGGTGAACTTTTTGTAGTTGCTTCTCGCAGCCGCAGAAAACTGGTGGAAAACGCGTGTGGAAATTTGGCTTTTACTTATGGGGCAATATAATGAGGCAATTTTATTTGCGTAAAGTGTAGCCGTGAAGGTAAAGAAATTGGATTGGGTTAACAACACCTTTACCCGTGATTTCAATCCTAAATATATGGGCTCAAAATGATCCAGGTTTAGGTCGCACACGGAAAAATGGACCTCACAGACTACAAGTGACTTTTCGCTAGATTCCAGGAGGTACCTATTCCCGTTACTTTGACTTTAACCCTAACTCTAACATTGGCCCTAACATTAACACTAGCTATCTCAATCCTAGCCCCCCTAACCCTTACCATAAACCCAACCCAAACCCTAATGACATTGCCGACAAAGCAAACGGAGACTAGAATGGCCGTTTCTGGCTTATTAGCCGTTGTTAGCTAGTCATACCCAACCCCGAAGTGTGAAACGCTTGGGGTTCGAACTCGAGACCTGTTGGTTAGAAGGCACAAGGGGACGAGTGAGTTCCGTAACACAATCGGTGAGCGTCCTTCTACCATTGTAAATACCCGATCGCAACTGACAGTTCAACGAGCCCGTGGCTCAGTGGTTAGGGGCGTTGGACTTCTAACCAACAGGTCGCGGGATTGAGCCCCAGGTGTTCCACACTTCGGGGTTGGGCATGGCCAGCTGATGATGACTAATCGGCCAGAAGTGGTCATTCCAGTCTCCCTTGTCTTTGTGAGCAACGTCATTCTGCTCATAGTATGCGCCGCTGTGCGGCCGCTGGTTGGTCTCGAGAGGGAGAAAGCCCGTAAGACACAACGGGATGAGTGAGTTCCGTAACACGATCAGTGAGCGCCCTTATACCAAGCCCTGATCCTAACCCTCCGGGAGTTTGGGGCAAAGCCACCTGTATTATGGAGGGGCCCATATTCCAGTGCCCACCCAGATTTATAAGCACACCGGGCCATTTTCCCCCTAAGAACCGCACAACAAGGGCTATTGCTGAAATATCACGTACCGCGATTCTGCCGGTGAGGACTTTTGTTAAATTTATTTCTCTCGAACAGAGTCTAATGAGTCCCATCTCTTGACGACACATCTTTAGTCAACATTTTTCAACAGTCCAGTCGGATCTTAGATAGATTCTTGTGAATGATTTCTTCATCTGTGTTGACGGAAAGCATTAGCGGTTATGACTCATGTCCATTTTTTCTCTTGCTCTGTGACCGTTAGAAATTTCAACGGAGCCGCCGTCTATCTTATCGCCTGTTCGGTCTTCTCTCTGCTTCTGGGGTTTGTCTACCTAAAGTTAGATACCTCCAAAGAGTCGGGCATTCAAAACCGTTTGGGACTCTTCTTCTTCGTCTGTTTGCAAGTCATTTTCTTCAACACCAACTGCGTGGAAGTTTTCATTCGTGATTTCGCACGATTCAGGTTATTATAACAATTTTCTCCATTTTTCCTTAAATGTGAATCCAATTCCAAAAATGTGCAGCTGTGTTCGTTTCCTACTCGAAAACAGTAGCACCATTAACATCCCAGATTGCCCCCTTTCTCAGTAGACGTTTAGAGCTCTAAAAGACTCTTTGGGCACCTCCGCACCCACCCTCCTCGCCTACCCATCAGTAAAACCAGCCGCACAGTCCGGTGAAAGTGGCCCCACCTCTCATTAAGTTTTATGCTGGTGAAAATGTTTTGTGGACTGATGAGAAAAAGAGGGCAATGGTTCGACGAACACAGGTAAATAATTTGAAAATAATAACTTGATGATGCCCAGGGCTGTACAGAAGAGCACAGAGAACACTTTTATTCGGGGGAACAGTGAAAATGCGCAGTAAAATACGTTCACCTGAAGGGGGTGTATTTTTGGCCTGAATTTTCACCCGCCTGTACGACTAGCAAGATGCGGCGCGCTGCCTTCTGACCCTCTAACGCAAGCTATACACAGGACTGCTCAGTTTGTGACGAAGAGTAACTGAATTCACCACCTAAGACGTCACAACACAAATAACCCCTCTCAGTCTGAAGAAAGTTTCACCGCTCGTTTTGCCCTGACTTCTGCAATTTACTTTTGTAATGATTTTTAGCTTTGGGACTGCACTAAATCAACTTTTTTCTCAAAGGGCTGTCCAGAACCGTAGTAATAAGAGCGATTCCTAATCAGTTTTTGCAAGGGTTGTTAAACCGGATATGTAGGATAATCACTACCATCTATGAGTCTCCTCCACAACCTCACAAAAAGACCCTAGAATTGAACGTCGCACGTAGTACGGGCTTTAGGTTTTGGGTCAGCATATAGCATTCGAATCATGTAGTTCCTGATATGGAGCTTCTTTGGTCGTGTTTTCTGTGGTCCTTCGCCGTATGGACTTTTTCAATAAATCCTTTTATTAGGAGCGTGGGTACTTGAGTGACTGACCTTTGATTACGCTCTCCCTAGGTCCACCTAAAATGTGCAAATGTTACCTCTCTGCTACTTTTCTTGGCATCTTGCGCATGCTACAATAATCTTCTGCGCGCGATTGATTTAGGCAGGAACGATTCAAAGGCTACTACTGCACATCAGCTTACTTTCTGTCTAAAGTGTTCTGTGAAGTACTGCCGGTGAGAGTCTTTCCTGTCATCGTCTTCCTCCCAATGCTTTACTTGATGGCCGGCCTGAAGTCCGAAATCTCTGCCATTGTGATTTGGGAGCTTGTCTGGCTAGCGACATCTATAGCCTCCTGCGGTGTTGCTATCCTAACAGGCGTTGTCTTCAATCACCTGGAACTTGCCAGCCTCTTCACCTGCCTCGTGTACTCTTGCATGATGGTACGTAATGTTCACTATCAATTGCGTGCTACTAACTGTCATTTGAGTAAGTATTGTTTTTGCGATTACATTTTCAGGCATTCAGCGGTTATTTGCTTAACATGGTGTCCACTTGGCGTGTGCTGAGTTGGCTTCGGTACCTTTCCATATTCTGGTATGCCTTCTCCGCTCAGTCAATCAACGAACTGACGGGAGTTGAATTCTGCTCGCTGGCCAAACTCTCGTCATCACAACAGCATTCATGGGCAATGTCCGGGGTTGATTTTGTTGTTCCGGATGATGGTGCTGTCAAAAATTCTACAAGCTCGCGACTGCAATCCTGGTAATACTTTACTTATGTTTATGGTCCAGATGATTCAAATTAGTTTGCACTTTTCACGAAAAGAGGGACCCTCAAAGGGAGATCAAGTGATCGAAATTCCCATCACTACTGTTTTGCGTTTTGTGTATTTTAGTGTCTCCGGTTCGGAGTACCTAGAAAATCAAGGCATACCATTTGGTTCTCCATGGAGTCTCTGGAGTAACATTCTTGGCCTCGGTTGCATTTCTTTTTTTACCTACTTGGCTGCCTATATCCGCCTACGACTTTTGCGAAACTACGTCTCTTGATACTAAAAAAAGTGTTCTGGGGACTCTTTGGTGCAACATTCTGCTTATTCATCGGCCTTCTACCCCTCCATGTTGTCCAGGCGAACAAGACAAAGAGACAGTTCCCACAGCGTTTGCGAGAGGAAGGTTGGCGGTAGGGAGAAATAGACACGAGACCCTTGATTTCGACCTTATCGAATGTAATTTGAACAGAGATACTAGTTTTTTTTACTGCAACATAACTCCAAAATTAATAGATTGTGATTATTGTTTTGGAAGTACTTCTCTTCCCTGTTTAATGGACTTTTTTCATTTTATGACTTGTTTTTAGTTATACTCCAGAATACACTTATTCGTAAATAAATAAAACATGTTGTGTAGGATTAGGAAACTTGGCCTGATGGGGTGTCTAATGGCATAACGTTTTTGCCGACATGCTCTCGTACTTCTGGCGCTTTAGGTTGTTCATTAAATGTTTGCGTGGGAAACCGGCTAGATTTTCGGTGACCCTGAAACCGGGGGAGATGTTGCGCCAGCCCTAACCGAGGACAGTACTTGACATGAAGGCGTTATGCAGCCCGGCAACGCACTCGATCTCATTTGGGGTGTGTCAGCCTCTGATGCATTATTGGAAATCGAAGGAAAGGTGTGGTTGACTCCGCGCAACCTACAGTAGTTCGGATAGCCTTCTGAAGTAACACGACGCAGTACAGGTTGTGGTCTGCAGATTGACCAACTGATGAGACAACTCAGTCTTCCGGACTGGGATTTAGGTTTCAATTATTTCTTAATGTGGAGTTGTGGTAGTTCTCACCTGTGTATGTGAGCTCTGGATTAGTTACGTGTTACTTGTGTGAACTGAAGAACCAATGTTTGTTTGGCATGCGAGGGGCGGAGGCGAGTTGCCAGGTCAGCTCGACATTACCATTGAAGCGCGATGATTTTGGGAGGGAAATAGCAACGTTGGCGTTCCGCCAGCCTTTCCCACTGGTAATCTAAAGTACTCAGGAGACATAGTTGCTGCCTTAGGCGATATTGGTCGCCCCTTACGGCTGACGAACTAGTAGGTTAGGCTGTAGACTAACTCGAGTGCCTGCGAAAGACAGTCTGTCTCGACTACCAGCCGCCTGACCTGGCAACCATATCGACTACTGAACTAGTCGGGTGTTGTCTGTTTCGGGGTTCTAACCCATCCCGTGAATCCTTTTTTACATAGATGCCTTATTTAGTAGATAGGGTTTTATTCACCAAATTAAACTGAGAGGACCATGAACAGATGGACCAACAGCAGTGGGCGGGGCAGGGCAAGCACGGAACCTGCATAGGTCAGCTAGTGTGTCTTGTCTTTCTTCCATCGCCTGGGCTCTGTCCTTCGACGAGAAGCGGAGAACAGTGTGGTCGATGCTGGCCTCTTTCCACAATCCGATTTGGCGTCCCTGTCGTCACGCAGTCCACATGGAAGGGACAGCATCCACATAATTGCATTCGAGTCTTCTGGCTATTGGAAAGCTGCAGGTATGGTTGTTCGTTGCGTGACCGCAGACCCGAGCATCGATGGCTGAGGCAAGTTTAGGTCGCCCTGTTGGTGAAAGCAGTGCAACTCAGCAGCCCTATTTGCGGATGCACCAAGTACCCCTGGGAAACTAGAGGAGGCTAGAAGAGGTCGCCCAACCATTGCTTAAAGCAACAGCATCGCCCCTAAACGACTGCACCGTGTGCACCACGCCACTTCCAGAGATGTCCTCTGGTCAGGGCGGCAGTAAAATCATGATTAGCTCGTTGAGGAGATTCAGAACTAGTTAGCCGGGCGAAATTAGCGCCATGAAACATTAAAAGGCTTGCGGGCAGGGCGACTTGTGGCAGACGCTGCATCAGAAACTGCAGGAAAAGCCGGACTCTTGAGTAGCCCATAAGGCTGAGGAAATTCAGAGGTGGCCTCATCATAGTAGCAAGAGTTATATCTTCACAATCATCAAGACCATCAAAAATTCACGATTATTCGGAGCCAGCTCATATATCACTGAGCCAAATACATTCGGAGTGTCCTTAACCGGTTATTTTCGATCTACAAGGCGGCAATGTATGCTCCTTCAAAGTTGAAATCAGTATCAACCGCAATCTGTTGCCAGTTCTATAACAGTTCACCTCCTTGAAGAAGGGCACACCACAGCTGCCTTTCTAATCTTCACGGAAGCTGTGACTCGGGAGGCGGATGACTTTCGAAGAGCTAGGAAGGCGAGAAAATACCGCAGGATGTCGAAATTGCCATTGCCCCCGCAAACGCAGTTCTATGATGGAGGCCGAGGAATTCCCCCACCTGAAGTTTCCCGAAAGAATTTTGGCAGGTGTCAACGGACTCTGCGCGTGGAGAAAAGACTGTTACCGGACCCATGCTACGGAGTCCACAGGCAGGGTGCGATCGTTGACCCAAGCAGAAATGTCGGAAAGTGCACACCCAGTGTCTGCAGTTTGTTAATTGAACACTACCTCGTCAGATAGGGTGAGCATAAGGAGAGTTTAGTTAATAGTCAGGTTCCATTTACTACAGGCATTTGTATTCAAGGTGCTCTGGCCCTACTCAACATCATTGGAATTTCTTTGAACACATCCCTTTGTCGCCTGTCGAATGAAATGATCTCATGCTTTTCGCGCTGTTTATTAACTTAACGGAACACGTCGACATGGGTTTCAGGTGCTGCTGAGCCCACAAGAAATGAAGATCTTCCTAAAAGTCCCCAATGACAGTGTCATTGTGCACAAGCCGCAACAACGGAAACAGCGGTACCGCGTTGATTGGGGCTCTTTTCAACCGACTGCAAAAACTCCAGACTAGGCGCACTGACTAAGCAATTAATCGATCCGCCAGTCAGTGCCGGTGTCTTGCTGTTCCGAACTGATTTAGTACCTGGCAAATGAACTCCATTGTAGCAGCAGGGTGGAGGAGAAGGCATATACTCCGGTCTAGAAGGCTACTTACGTTTTTTTAAAGTTATAGTCAGCACGTCCTCCCTTAAAAGTGACGGATGATGCACAGGTTAAGTGTCCTATGTCCGTTTTGGCCTATCTAACATCCTACTTACAGTTATCCCGAAGAGCTAAGTCCTTCGTTAAGGCAGTACAGTAGTGTGATATTTTATCATAATTACAATACTGGGACCATCAAAAGGGGCCGTGTAAACCCCTGCCTCTTGCCTCAGCGATCATGGGACCACGAACGTCGGCCTATGATTCTGCTGATGGGAGCTTAATCTGGCAAAACCTCTGTCACAAAAAGGTCAATTTCCCCATTTCCCGTCTGCAATGCTTATTTCAAAAAGTCTGATTGATACTCGCCAGGATCATCATAACAAAATCACGTGGTTCATTGATATTTTGGCAGATTTTGAATAATTCATATTGACCCAACTGTGAAAAACTCGGCGCCTCGGTGGGATTCGAACCCACGCAGTAAGGGGAAGGCTTTAGCGCAGCCAACGCTCTTACCACCTGAGCTACGAGGCCCCGCCGGACGACGCGAGTTTAATCACATTTGGGTCAAGTTACCCGCTTAACCTACTGCAACGTCTGGAATCCACCAAATCTGATACAGTAAGTTGACTGCCCAAGCAGGATTTCCTAAGTAATTCACCTAGAATCCACCAGATGACTACTAGGCTCGCGTAATTCGCACAGTTGGGTCAATATGAAAATCAGGTGGCGCAATTCATCGATCCACTGACTAAGGACGTTCTGTTTTGCCTTGGATCTCCGGTCTTAAGCTCACACAGGCGGTCCCATGGCGACGGGCAAGCTGTACCTGAGGAGTATTGCCAATGCAGGCAAGGGGGAGACTGGGAGGAGCAGTTGCGGTTTATTTTCTGTCGTCTGCCAACCAGGTCTCGACCACAGATCCAGGAAACTCGGCGACCTCTGATCACTGAGTAAATGTTATGACATCGAGCCCTGTGCCTCCCTGCCTGGGATTAAGTCCTTGTTGGCAGACGACAGTAAATAAACCATAAATGGTCTCTCCAATATTCCTTATCTGGGGCGCTGATAGCACTAGAGATTCGTAATTCAGTTCCAACTTTCAGCAGCTTCTCAAACTTTACGTTTACTTTCAGCGGAAGTTAAAGTACAACTGGTTTTGTACAGCCTGGGAAACGATGTCGCTCATCTGCTTGACACCATAGTCTCGCAGCGCCAATCTATTTTCCGTTATTGATGTTTGGCGCTGAGTACCTGCTGCGCCATTATTCCTGCTTAGGTCCAGATTATTCTAACCACACCCGCAAAACTTCTCCGCTATTGAGTCTTCTCTCACCTGAAGCAAGACGACGGAGAGACGTCAGCGCGAGCTACGTGCGAATAACCTCTCAGTCAGCACAATTTTCCTCCCACGCGCGTCTGAGTCACCGTGGAGCCTGGCAGGTGACCAAGACATAGGGCACACCCTCGTGGTGAGACGAGCGGAGGTCGAAACGACGGCGCTTCAACGACCACACCCTCTCTTCGCCCTGATTTTGTTTTCTGATGAGGCAGAGCAGGGCACCTATGACTGCAGTTGGGTGTAGGCGCAGGCAGGAGATTATCTCACAAGATCCGTAGCGCGAACCTCCGACGTCACAGGACTTTTGAATGACAGGAGCGAACCGCTGACCACTCCCGAAGCCGAGACCATGCCTGGCGTACATACTGAGGAAGACAGGGGCAGGTCTGCACCGCTGCTGCCGTGTTGGCGCCCCTCCCTGGAGAAGGCTCGGAAACGAGCGGAGGGCAAACAAAAGCGATCTCATGGTAGCCGACTCCCTCTAAAATGATTTCTGGGAGTGCCATCGGAAGAAAACCCCGTTCTTTTCACCTCCTTCTCAATAAGCGGAAGTTGCTACTGCATTTCCTAACGTACTCCTTTCTCTGTTGCTGTACCCTCACGTCCGCTGGCTGCAATGAACTTGTGATTGTGTCTAAAGTTTTGGGAGCCCAAGGAATATTATCCACCCTAAGTAATGTGACCCAAAGTGCATGTCGTCGGAGCTGAGAGA